GTGGGATGGCTCAGTGGGTAAGGGCATTTGCTACCAAACCTAGTGACCTGAGTTTGATTCCTGGAACCCACGTGGGTAAACAACTCCAGTTGTCCTTTGACATATCCCTCACTGTGGCAAATACACGCATGCATGTGCACATGCAATAGATGAATGCACAAACACAATCTAAAAAATTTACGACAACCGAGCCCGGAAACAAATCAGCCGAGCACAGTTGTACCTGTGTACCCCCACGTTTCCCCATCAAAAGATTCAATGCACTGTGGGTCAGAAAGCTGTGGGTAGACAGAGCATAAATGACTTTCCTCGTCATCATTGTCCCCTAAACAACAGAGTCCAGCAGCTCCTGTGTGCCATTTACACCACAGTGTAAATAGGAATGGATAGGAATGGATCTGGTGGCCCTTGAAATGGCCGGGCAGTGGTGGCACACGCCTTTAATGCCAGCACTCGGGAGGCAGAGCCAGGAGGATCTCTGTGAGTTCGAGGCCAGCCTGGTCTACAAAGCGAGTTCCAGGAAAGGCGCAAAGCTACACAGAGACACCCTGTCTCGAAAAACCAAAAAAAAAAAAAAAAAAAAAGAAATCTAGAGATGATTCAAAGCGTGAGGGCTACCTGCAAATATAGGCCATTTTGTACCTGGAACTTGAGCATCCAGCCTTAGATTTGGGTACCTATGGGGGTACTGGCACCAAGTGACGGTGAGGGGATCCCCAGGAAAGAGAACAGATACTCCGTATGGGCTCGCCTAGGAACCGAGCTAAATTTGAACTATGCTAAAAGTCTATGCTGGCTGTTCAGAAGTTAAATCAGAAGACATATTAGGAAGAAATTGAGCAATAGGGTCAGTGGAAGCAGGATAAATCCGGCCCATAACTCCATCATCCCTCTAAGCCTGAGCTCAAGTCCAAGTTTTAATACCATTTCAACAAGCTTCCATTTGCCGAGAAAGAAGCCACAACCCTCAAAACTAACTGATTCTTGAGATTCAGACTGCTTTACAAACACATACAGAAAATCTCTTCCCAAGAGAATTTAAGTCACAAACAATGCTAACCAACAATGTGGCTGCTCCTGCCCCTTCACAGCTCCCTGCTGGTCCCCACTCTTCTCAGAGCCAAACCCTGTTCCCAGCCTAAGTTCTCAACCTGAGCCACTCAATAGGTGAACTTTCCAGGCCATGCACTTCTCAATCGGGGCTTTTAAAAAAGAAGACTCGGAGTCACACAGCCAAGCACCTACCATAGCCCAAATACATACTGCTCAAAGCTGTTGACTTACATACCTGGATCATTAGACTGAGAACGTCCAGGATTCCACTTATTTCAAAAACGGAAGCTGGGTGTAAAGAAGGATGGTGATTTAGAGAGACTAGCTGGCCTACACAGTGAGACCCTATAGGAAAAAAAAACAAAACTGAAAACATAACTGGACGATTGGAGCGCACCTAGCCCAAGTCTGGCCCTCAAGAGAGCCTAAAAGCTGTGCAATGCACACTGGCCTGGATGCTGCTTCAGAGGGGAAGAGGACTCGAGGCAGCTGACTCCAGGGCTGCCACTTAGAGCTGCTCACCTTCTGGTGCCCACACATCCCAAGGACTGGCAGTGATGCCAAGAACCACCTTCCCCAGAGGGTTGGGCCTGTTTACCTCCCCACTCCCTCATCACCATCAAAGGCCCTGAGCAGCAGAGGTGAGCCCTAGAAATAATATTTCAGTGGACCTGAAATAAACTCAGGCCAATCTCCTAAGGGCTTTCCAAAACTTACGTTTTAAAAAGCCAGTGTTTTCGTCAAAGTATCTCCCCAAAGAAAATATCTGCTGTTAGGGAGCTTATTGTTTGGATATCTTTCTCTCTCTTTCCCTCTCCTTCCCTTTATCTCCCCCGACTCTCCTTCCTCCTTTCTCCCTCTCCTACCTTCCCTCCCACCATCAAGCTGTCCTTAAGCTCCCAGCAATGATCCTGTCTCAGCCTCTGGAGTGGGGGATTTGAGGTACGAGCCATCCCATAACAACTTCCATGTAGTCTTTATTCTCCAAGAACACTGCCATGTGCTTACCTAAAATAACTGCTGTTGTCAAAGGGACAGCTGTTTACTCACCCCCCCCCTTCTTGCAACAACTAATAAAAGGCAATCCAATCAATAGCAAGCCCAACTAATAGCTCCAATCACCAGGGAGAGGAAGACTCCTATTCACCTCTCCTGATAAGGCAAACCATAGAGAAATGCATTAATCGAATGTTCAAGGAAAAAAAAGTATTTGCAGACCTAAAGGGAACACCTTTCCAGCAAAACATCCATCCACAATGAGGGGCACACAACCTTACCACGTTCACTTCACCATGTCTTTTAAAGAAATAAGTCCTCTAAGAAAAGAAAATCCAAGATACACTCAAGTAGCTTAGTCCCGGGTCATATAAAATGTAAGCAAAACAAAGCCTTTTTTTTTTAAGCTTGAGTTTACACAAACACAGACCTATAAATCTTCACTCTGGTTTGGGTCATTACTGACCACACGGAGGACCAGGAAGCTCACAATGGAGGTTATTTATGAAAGCACCCGAAATGTCATCACTTTAAATTAAACCATCCTGTCCTTCCAAACACTCCTGCTTAATAAAGCTCCCTGGTCATTCACCGGCATGAGAAAACAGCTGCCCTTCTACATATGCATCCTTGTCACTGAAATGTTTACAGCAATAATAGTAACCATAATAAAACGGTAAAATTATAACAGTGAAGGTGTCAATAGCAGCACCAGGCACACCATTTAGTGGAACTAAATGCCCTAAATAATTTTGGAAAAAATGCAAAAACCACTAGATGGGGGTTGGAGGGGCCCTCAGTAGGAACAGGCAAATCTCCATTTCCCACCTGCAGGAGAGCTGGGCACATGGAAGGGCTTGGGGCTTTAAGATTAGCAGTCACAAGTTCTGTTACAGAAATTTTTGCTTCAAATTTTCAGTCAACAAGGGAATGAAAGTAAAACACACACACACACACACACACACACACACACACACACACACACACCCCAAAGCATGAAGAAACAGCCTGCCCCAGTGGACAATTCTGTAATCCCAGCACTCAGGAGGCAGAGGCAGGAGCATCACTTCAACTTCAAAGTCAGTATGGGCTACATAAAGACCCTCAGAACGCAGAGGCGGAGACAGAAAGGAAGGAGGTGAAGGAAGGGACAGATTGACGATGGACAGAAGGACAGATGCAGGGTTTAACAATCCTTTTGTAAGGTTTTCTTGTATGTTTCACAAATAAGTTATAACAAAATGTAGTATACCTGTAATATACCACAGTGCGTTACATAAAACACAAAAGGAATTACTTCATAAGAACAGTCCCATTTAATAATTCATGAGACATTTCAATATTTCTAATTCTTTTAACAAAACCTAAGAATCTTCTAAAGTTCTCCAAGCCAGACATCATCCCATACTGACCCCCTACATTCCTATGCTTGGGTTATTCTAATAAAAAAATATGATTGCTACATTTTAAATCCTTCCATAAATTTAAAGACTTCCCCCAAAGTCATCTTATAATCAATATCCATCAAAAAGCATTCTCATTATTTCAGATCAACTCACCAAACTCCTGAAAGGCACGGCTAAGCTAGGTGTACACGGGTAAAGCTCTTGGATTTTCAAAGGCCCCTCCCCAAAATATTTCAATAGAATCTCATGAAGCACTATCAGTTTTATTTGTTTTATTTTGCCTATGTGGGAAATTACCATTCTAGGAACTTTCAAACTATCACAGTAGCAGTCTAGAAAAACTAAGAGCCAGATTCCTTGAAAATCGCCATCTCTGACCCTGAACTGTGCTTGATAAATTCCAGCCTTACCCAGATGGCAGATAAAGTGACAGGTAAGTGTCCCCACTACAGCTTCTTTCATCACAAGAGCTTTCAGTGCTTGTGACTCTAAAACGGGCATGCCCTTCGGAGTTGTCCCCGGGAAAAATGACTGGCAAGTGCTGTGGGCTTTATTAACACACCTAAGAGAACCTGTGTGCACCTGGGCAAGGAGAAAGCACTTCAAAGGACATCACCTCGCCACAGATGCTAGCCCTCTAAACCTCAGTGAGCGGCATCATTTCACCTGTGGACAGATGGCGTACTGGGCAGGTTAAAGGAAAGTTAACAGCCATTCAAGGTACTCCTTCCTAAGACCATCCAATCACGTATTGAATTGCCTAGGCTGTGTCTGCCAAGTAGTCAAGCATTACTACAGGAGCAGCAGGTGCAGTCCTGAAGCCTCAGGTCCACACACTGCTTTTTAAAAGGCTTTTTCTGTTTTAATGCTATTGGTTGGAGAAGGAGAAAGAGAAAAAGAAAAGAAAAAAGGGAGAGAGAGAGAGATTGAGAAAAAGGGAGAGAGGGAGGGAGGGAGGAGCTGGGGGAGAACCACAATTCTACTCCCACCCGTGGCATGACAGCGGCAGGTCCACCCCCACAGTACTCTGGAACCTGCACGGGCATCGTCTGAACATTCCTCCCCCATTCCTTTTACCCTTCCCTCCCCACTTCAGCCCAGACAAAGGTGAGTCACCAGTCACTGTGCTGGGTCCACTTGTCACTTAGGGAAACGTCCCTAAACAAATTCTACTTTAAGTAAAAGAGCAAATAACATCGCAGTGAGCCGCGTGAACTCCGCAGTGCCTAGAGGCTAATAAACCTGAATTAAACACGACTCAAGTAAAGACGTCTTCTGGCCCAAGGGGGTAAAAAAGGCTTTTCACTACTTAGCAGGTCCTAGTCCTCCGCAGCCTCATCTCCCACAGGTCTTCCCGCCTTGGCTGTGCCGCCGCGTCCCGCAGCGCCCCACAGTCCCAGGGTCCGCCCGCACCCGCACCCCCTCCTCCGCCCGCCTCTGCGCAAGGTGCTACCGCGAGGCGCCTGGAGGCCGGCGGGGGGCTCCAGGGAGCGCGGCCGCAGGAGCCGGGACCGCGAGAGGCGCCGCAGTCCCCGTGCCCCCTACCTGCTCGGCAGCCGCGGTCCTCGCGCCGCCGCTCAGCTCCACAGCTCACAGCTCGGGATCGCAGCTAAGGACAATCGGGAGGCAGATCCGATCCGCCGCCGCCGCCGCCGCCGCAGAGCAGGACGAACCAGCTCGCTGCACCCGCCGCACCTCCCGCCTCGGCCCCGCCCCGGGGGTGGAGGCTCCAGGGGGCGGGGCCATACGGGGGCGGGGATTGTAGGGGCGGGGTCTCGTTGGGTGGGGTCTTGGAGGGGCGGGGCTATGCCCCTATGGGCCGAGAGTAACGCGGACTGTCGGTCAGGGCGTCTGCTGATGGATTGCCTAAGGAAAGGTCGTCTCAGAGCTCCCTCATTGGTTGGCAAGTGCGAACACAGCAGAGCCCTGATTGGTAGCGGCACTGTAGCTCCTCCTCTCCGTCCCCGCCCCGACCCGCTGCTGTGTTTGCCCTTGGCTCCTCAGGCCCAGGTGGCTGCAGGATGAGGTGCAGTAGGAAAGCTAAAAACCTCCGAAGACAGCTCCGGATGCAGGGTTCCGTGCGCAGGATACGAGCTATCCCGAGCCCCTACCATCTTGTGGTTTTTGTGAGACCTTTTGTTGAATAACATCTCATCTTCACTATCATATTAATTTAGTGAGGTCGCTGGGATGTATTTTAAAATGCTGCATAAAATTCAGAAAGATGTGAGACAGGAAAAAAAGTCACGGGATGTTTTCACCTTTGGTGAGACTGGAAGTGAATTTCTTAGTACTTGTCTGTGTTCCTTACAGAGTAGGCATTAGTTTCGTAATTTTTAATAAAAACGAACTTTTTTTAAAAAAATAGAAAAATTGATAAGGGAGGAAAATAAACTTTGGAAATATGCAAGGGACTAGTTCTTCCATGATACAAGGAAATACATTATCTACACCCTTCAGTCTCTTGAAGCAGTTTACAGGAATGGCTGAGATGTGTCTATCCTTCTGATATATTTATGCAACATGTAAGAATTATTGCAGCAGGACTCAGTGATACAAAGAATTTTGTACTAAATAAGTAAATCTTTGACCAAAAAGGAAAAAAAATGACATAGAAAGAAATTCAGGTAATAACAGTGGAAAGCTTAGCTGGTGGAAGAAATAAGAAAATGTGAGTTTCAAGATGTGACATATACTTTGAACACTAAATGTCAAAGAAGGCAGAGGGGTTAAGGATCAGTGCCTGTGGTTAATCCAAGTAATGGGAATGCTAACACATTTCCAGACAGGCCAGATGTCTGACACCTTGCCCAGCAAGGTGTGAAGCAAGTTCCACTCTGGAATTCTCTCAAGCTGCCATACCAATCTTACAAATTCTGAAACAGGCCATAGGAAATTAGGCACTTCTTCCAACAACTCCACGAACTATATAATAGTGAGAACAAATGGAGGCAGACAAAGCACTCATTTTTGTGGAGATCCAGAAGCCAAAACCAAGGCTTGGAGGGTAGTTGTCAACCTTCTCTGCAAATCTCTGCTTCACTTGGCTTCCAGACGTCCACCACCCTCCCTGCCCAGGTCTTCTACAGCTGGCCTCCCTGTATGAGGTGTGCCTCTACTGGAAGACCTGGAGAATGTTGAGTGAGTAAACACACGGCTGCCATTCAGTGAGACCATCACAGCATCACCAAATTCCTTGTCCCTTCAGCAGAAATCTTGGAGGAACAGATCTGACCCAGCATGAGACAATCTCATAACTTTTCTAATGGCTCAGAAGTAATAAAAAAAAATCTTCTTTTAATTAGTCCCCCAATTATAGGACTTAGAGGTGAAGGGTAACATTTTGGTCAACACTTCAAGCTTCCTTCAAAATAAGGCCTTGAGCTGGGGTGTAGTTCCACCGTAGTGTGTCCGCCTAGCACACTGTGTGGGGTCCCTGGTTTGATCTCAAGCACTGCAAAACAAAACAAACAAAACCCACCCTTCCAGGCAGGCAGGCTCTGTACTCCCTTAAGGGAAAGGAAATCCGACCCTCCATCACAACCAGGCTCCTCTTTCCAGTTCATAAAGAAAGGAGGAGGAGGAGGAGGAGGAGGAGGAGGAGGAGGAGGAGAATCCAGGGCTGGGGCATTTCCATCTGCCCAGTGTGGTTGCCCTAAAGGTTTGCTCTCAATGAACCAAGGATTGACCAGAGCTTGGGTCTCCTCACCAGAATTTTCAGTCATTCGTAGAGACCTGGACTTGGGTGAGTGGCTGCAAGTCTCAGGATCCAGGCACTGTCTCTAGCTGTCACCTCTCCCTTGGTTTCCTGCAGTGTACCTTGTGGCGATTGTCCTCTCGGTTCCCAAAAGCAACTTAGACATGCCTTCTTTCCATTCACACAAGAGCAGCTCTGCCATCTACAGACCCATTTCTCTGTTCTTTCTCCTCCGCTCTATACCAATGCCCACATCTTCTCAACTTTAGATGGCTCACGTCAAGTTCAGACACTCTAAACAGTGAGTTGCCCTTGATGTCCTACCAATGTCCCCCTCCGGTGAGATTAGGGACAACACTATAGAAGTTACCAGACTCACAACATTGCTTCTTCAGACTAAATCCCTTCATTGAGCTTTTCCTCGCCGCCCCTTCCTCCACCTCTTAGGAGCTTATTTTGAGTAAAGCATGTTTAAAAGTCACCAAGTGACTACGTTCCTTTCGCAGTTTGTTTCTTGCTCAGGCAACTTCAGAATTTTGCACCTGATTTGCCTCTTGCTGTTTCAGTCAAAACTATGTACATCTTGCACTGCTAATATGAATCTCTAACAACATTTCAGTCAATTAACACCAGAACATAGGCTAAAAACTAGTTCCCATAAGTCACACTCAAGTATAGTGCTATTTGAGTATGAGAACCACGAACACACACTTTGCCTGTCAGTCTCTTGACTTAGAGAAGCAGCCTTGGTTCCCAGCCTGCACACAGGCAGGCAGAACTGTGTTCTATTCAGGAATTCAAGAGCACAGCTCTCCACAAGTTACTCTTTCTTCTTTTTCTACAGGGTTTTATATAGCAGCCCAGACTGACCTCAAACTCATTGTATAGCTGAAGATGACTTTGAACTCCTGATCCTGATCCTCCTGCCTCTACTCCTAAGTGCTGGGATTACATGTGTGTATAATCTACCACACCTAGCTCTTTTTGTTTTGGCTTGGTTTTTTGTTTGGGCTTTTTTTTTTGCAAAGGGGAATATTTTTATTTGTTTGTTTAAACAGTCTCTTCATATGTAGCCCATGGTGATCTTGAACTAGGTTCAAATAATCCCCCTGCCTCAGCCTCTAGAGTACTAGGATTATAAATGTGTGCTACAATGCTCAGCCACATTGGTCTTAGCTTTATAGTTCCAAAGGAAATAGGTATTCCTTTAACAAAAATATTGCTGCATGTTAGTAAGCTGCTGCTCATAGCTTGTGTGGCATGGCGTCTCCATGAGAGGCATGAACAAAGCTCTATGTGCTCCAGTTAGGACACTAAGAGCAAAAGAAACAGTTCTACTGAGTCCGGCCTGCTGAACCAACTAGCTCACTGGGGTTACTTACAGGAGCACAGGTGACTCAAAGCAGCTGGACCATCATAAAGCCCACCCCAGCTCACAATCTGCGTCCCTAGAGTCGAGTAGCTACCCCTGAGAGAATCTCCTCCAGCTGCAATTGTTTCATGCTTATATAAGTGGGGGTTGCCAGCTTGTGAGTCTTGTAACTTCCTGAGCTTCCTGGGTCTTGCAAATCTCTTTTACTTCCTGAGTCTTATGCCTAGCTCCTAGGAGAAAACTAATTCAGAAGAAATAGCTACATACCATGTTCTGCTTTGAATCTATCATGAGACTTTCTCCCTCATTTTTACTAGATTTTTATGTATTTATTTGTGTGTGTGTGTGTGTGTGTGTGTGTGTGTGTGTGTGTGTGTGCATAAATGGAGATAAGAAGACAACTTGTTACCACTGAGCCATCTTGCTTCATCCTCTCCTCAAATTTCATCTATGTCCTAACCCTTGCCTACACACACAAGTCCGCTCTTAGCTTGGTGCAGTCCCCTGTTCCCTTATCACTCTCCCTTGTTGACCTGACCACAGTAGGCAAGGTTGACCTAATAAGGTTTGGCTGTTGGGAATTATCCTTAAGAACGAGTTCTTGAAACCAGGCATGGTAGCATGTGGCTTTAGCACCAGCACTCAGAAGACAGAGGCAGGAGGATGGCAAATTTAAGGCTAGCTTGGGCACATAGCCAGACTCTGTTTCTTAAACAAAAGGAAACAAAACCAACAAATTAAATTGAGAGATTTGTGCTGTCTATAGTGTGGGAATGAGATACATCAGTCCAAACTTTTAGCAGCCCCTGGAGTTCGTGATCCTTATTTCTATTTGGCAACTCTTCAGAACGACTCTCTTGTACATTTTGCAATCTGCTGCTTCTGTTAAGACATCTGTGTGCCAACTCCCATCTGACAGCCCTGAGGAGGTCGGGTTAAGAAAGACAGCGAGATATCTGGCGTATTTGAAGTTGGATTGCTACTGCTCTGTGGATACCTTTATGTAAACTCACGTGTGGGCTGCGGCATAGAAAGTGACCATATGAGTCCAGTCAAACGGCCAAGAATTTCTCGTCTGATAAAAAAGGAATGCTGCTAATTGCTTCAGTACCGGAATGCTCACCTGGAGCGCCCCAGCCAGTTAGTAATTTATTCTCTGGCTATTCCAAAAAGATGTGCCCTGTAATGTATGTGCATCTGCCATGGTGTGGGCATCCTCTCTGAAACTCCTGATGAAATTTCCTTGCCATAAGGACCATCCTGGAAGGGGGACCTTTAGGAGATAACTAGGTCATGAGACCATCACTGCCGAGAGTGAGCCAAGCTGTTATTACAGGGCTGGGTTAGCTGTAAAGAAACAGATCAGTCTCCCTGCCTTCTCCCACTCCTGCTCTTCCTGTGCCTCCCACTGGGCGAAGCCCTCTCCCATGTAAAAGCACAGCAAAGAAGCGCTGTTGCTTTGGTGTAGATGAGGTCTGGCTCTGTAGCCTATGCTAAACTGAATTTGTAATCCTCCTGCCTCTGCCTGGCAAGTTTGGGGATTACAGGCATCCGATACCATCTGTCTTAGTTAGGATTTCCATTGCTGCAACGAAATACCACAAACAAAAAGTTGGGGAGGAAAGGGTTTACTTGGCTT